TGCACTCGGGCTACAGGTCCTTATCCTCAAGCTGGGGTTACTAGGTGAACGCGGCCGGAGGGAAAGCCTTCTGAAATCCAGTCTTCAGCCGCACGTGGAAAATGGACATCTGTGACTCTTCAAAGAATTAAAGCAAGAAAGCATCTCAGCCGGCTCTGTGAGCTGGATATTTCGTAGGAAGGAGTGGATTTGGCCAAAGTTACGCAAACAATGGAATTGTCTCAGTTTGCGAGTTTGTTTCGTTTGACAGCCCTTCAGGGAGTCATCCTGATTGCTGGAGACGGTGAACGAACACTGTAGGGACCCTTGTGCGGAACGTGTCAAGTGACACAACAAGGATAGGAACACAGGTTCTTTGGACTCCACAGCTTCTGCTCCTTCTAGATTAAACCACACTGCTTTCTCCAAGTTTTTATTTTAGTAACATAATTTTGGCTGCAATTTGTGGATGGGTTGGAAGATGGGAAGTCAGTGCAGAAGAATGGTTGAAAGTATTCGATTAGGCCAGGCGCGGTGGCTCACGCCTGTAATCCCAGCACTTCGGGAGGCCGAGGCGGGAGGATCGCCTGAGTCCAGAAGTTCGAGACCAGCCTGGGCAACACAATGAGACCTCGTCTCTATATAGAAAAACAAAAACGAACGAACAAACATATATATATATATATTTTTTTTTTTTTTTAGACGGAGTCTTGCTCTTTCCCCAGGCTGGAGTGCAGTGGCACAATCTCAGCTCACTACAACCTCTGTCTCCCGGATTCAAGCGATTCCCCTGCCTCAGCCTCCTGAGTAGCTGGGACTACAGGCGCGTGCCCCCACACCTGGCTAACTTTTTGTATTTTAGTAGAGATGGGGTTTCATCATGGCCAGGATGGTCTCGATATCCTGACCTCATGATCCACCCGCCTTGGCCTCCCAAAGTGCTGGGATTATAGGCGTGAACCACCGCGCCTGGCCCAAAAATTTTTTTAAAAAGAAAATATTCTACTGATTCTATAATCAAAACGTGTTAAATATTAAAACATGGTATTAATACTCCAGTATTAATGTTAGCATTAATACTATTAGCATCTTATTGCAATATCGTGGAAACTAACTTTTCTTTTTTTTTTTTTTTTTTTTTTTTTTTTTTTTTTTGAGACGGAGTTTCGCTCTTGATACCCAGGCTGGAGTGCAATGGCGCGATCTCGGCTCACCGCAACCTCCGCCTCCTGGGTTCAGGCAATTCTCCTGCCTCAGCCTCCTGAGTAGCTGGGATTACAGGCACGCGCCACCATGCCCAGCTAATTTTTTGTAGTTTTAGTAGAGACGGGGT